AGGGACGAGTCTGGGCCTCCAGACGCTCCTTATCAGATTTCCTTAGATAAGGAGCAGCAGCCCCAAACTCTGCCATGGCAGCATCACCCATGTTTCAGCCTCTAAAAAGAATGTGAGCTTGGATTTCAAATGCATTCTTAACTCATAAGATGAGCATTAATGTGAGAAACAAGAATACAAATCAACAAAACCACCTTAACTTCAGAGTTTGAATTTTATCTGGAAATTAGTGATATGGAAAACCTTAAAATAATTAGGAAAGTTTTGTTTTTTTAAAACAAATTTTTTTTTTATTAACCACCTTTCAAAAACTTTCACCCATTTCTTGTCATTTCAGTTTAGGAATAAGTAAGTAAGTGTCCTCAAATTGTTATTGGATAACATATAGACATGGTAATTTTGAACTTAAAATTGGATTGCTGCCAATTAAATAGATTTTACCTGTGCTTTATTTCAGTCCCTTTGAAATGTGGAGTCTTGCTGTTCAAATGCAAAAGACAAAATAAAAGCAAGCTTAGTGTTAGGAAACGATTATTTGAACAAGAAATTAAACTGTAAAAGGTCAGACACAACAGCAAATTATTGAGTAAAGTTTGTACTTACCTCTTATTGTCAACTCTCTCAGGAGAATGATGGATCCAGTGGCTCACCTCAGACTTTCTCTCCTTAAATAATGCTCTGTAGTCAACCAAATATGGATATGAATATCAGAGAAATGGCATCCAGTTTGCTCGTCACAAAAGCATGCTCCAAACTGGGTTGAACCCAGTGCTGCTATTAGTTGCTCTCACCTTGAACAAAAGACCAATACGCCAGAGTGGAGATGACAAAGAAAGAGGGAGGCAGGAGGTGGGGAAGCAGCCTCTGGCTGTTGAATCATTTCATCTCTGCCAATGGGTTGTTTGTTTTATTGCTTTTACTTAACAATGAATAGTAAGTGAAGTTTATTAGTTTAATAGCATTTTTTTAATGGAATTTTTATCAATGTTTTTAAGCTATGAACAATGGTAATTTTACTCCAACATCCATCTCCAGTTTAAGATTAAGAGGAAGCATAGTTTTGAAACATTGCATTTATTGAGCAATGTTAAAGAGACTAAACAATTTTGTTAAACTCATCTTGTGGAGCCTAGGTCATTTTCAAGTCTGAAGTTTAATTATAGTCTATTCCGTGATTGGTAGCAGAATAGGGATGGAGAATAAAGAGCTGCAGCTGTCTTTTGCACAGACACAAGACAAGGGCAAGGTCACAGTTGTGAAGTCTTTCTTTTATCACTCACTACTATTCCCAGTGAAGTCAACAATAGACTTCCTTAGAGACAATGCGGTTCCATTTAAGTTTATATTATATAGAGATACAGAAATCTGGGCTCCATTGTGTATCCTGTAAGTGGAATGCAAATGATATTTATTTTTAAAAGTGAATATTTGTAGCTGTCGTTTTTTTGATGACTGTATGTCTTGTAGAAAAATAACTGTTTGTACAATTAAATTCCTGTTAAAATGATATCCACTACCCCAGAGAAAGAGTTGGATACCAAAGACCCCTGGGGAAGTAGTTATAGCTGAAGTTGCCTTTTGCAATTCTGTGAAATATGGGATATTACCTTTTAAGTTGCCCATTTTTTTACAGTGTGTACCAACAATGCATTGATCTCAAACTTGCCTTGTTTGTCTCATTACAGTGCTTTGTGATGTTTTAGATTTGTCTCTAAATTTTGCAAATGTCCTATTTGTTTGCTCACTAGTACAACACAAGTTGATAACAAAACACTTATCAGTATTTTGTGTTCTAACATTAAAGAAACTTTTACAAAAGGAAGTCTTGCACGACTACCTGTGAAGTTGGATTAGTACGACAAACTGTCAGAAATAAAGGTACATTTTTTATACTTACAGCTATATTAATGGTTCTTTTTAAGCACGGCAGCCATATGCGATAGATATTTGAGTTTCTTAGTAACTTTACCTTTTCCCAGTCAGCATTCCAGCTTAGGGCTGCTTTTGGGTTCCATATCTGACTGAAAACTCAGAAAATCATTCTATTGTTGCTAAAATCCCTTTGTTCTAATGTGCAAATAAACTGTTTGTCAAAATGCAGCTAATTTAGGCACACAATCGGTTTCTTAAGAGCTCACAATACCAATAGTCTGCCATTTAACATTTGTCACTTTTTTTTTTTTTTTATATATTTTGTTCCAGTGCTATAACCTCTTGTGAAGCCTGGAAAACAAAATCAACTGTCAAGACGAATTATGGTTAAAAATGTCTTATTGTTCAGATTTTTAGCAGTCCTGGTATTTTTCTAAGTATTCATTTTTCATTTTATTTGTTTTGAACAACTTTTTAAATATATTTAAGCTAAAATAGGCATTGTTTATGTTGGTTTGGATTTATAAATGCATTAATATATTTCAATAGAAACCATTTATTTCTTTGTGACCTATAATCCAGGCACATGCCCAGATGAGGCATTCAGGGACTGCCCTTTCTCTGCTCCTGTCGACACGGCATTGTTTTCTTCTCTTTATTCTTGAGCACAAAGATAACTTGTGAAATTCCTGCTGGCTGCCTTTGAGGGCTTGGAGGTTCAGAGGAGCTTGGGGGCAGCTTTTGACGCAAGTTGCCAGGACAAGAGTTGTTTTATTTTGAATGATCAGCAGCAACAGGTGATAACTCCATAAGCAAGCCAAGATGTAAACCCCTACAGTAATTTTATGTGGGATGGTATCATTATATTTAAGAATATGTTAAATTACTTCACAGGCACCTCAGTGTGTGAGTTATTTGCAGATTTAGTGTAAAAATGAAAATGAAAAAAAAACTTGCTAGTTCACTTGAAATTGCCTTCAAATTTAAGGCTAAAAGAAGCTTTGGCCTATAGAGTTTCTTGGATTGACAGAATGTGTCGACACCAATAAAGTAATCTCTGTGAAAATCTCACTATGGACGTTGCATCTTTCTCCATCAGGTCATGTCCTGACTTGACTCTACACTTGGATTTTCATCTCTGTTACTTTTCCCTTAGTCTATTCCAGGCTCCCATAGAGAACACTTGTACATTCACTGAAGGTCTCATTCTCAGCTGTCCGCAGCCTTTCTGTCTATGACTTTTACATCACATGAGCAGCCCAAAGGAAGGTGTGAGGCACCTTGCACCACTTAAGTTGAGAAATTTGAGCCAGCACAGCTATCAGGAGTATTTGTTATTTGCTGTTGTGAAAGGTCACTTCTAAGGGGAGTTGATTGTTCTCGTCCTTGTCTTTGCCTCATTCATTTAGACTATGGGCCTCTGAGTGGACTCAACATGAATTCTGATTGTGCTCCAGTGCAGAAAAGAACCAAGACATCATATCATAAAGGTACTTATTTCTTTATTTCTCTGTCTGAGAGTTTATTGTTTCTAAGTTGTGACGAATTTAATTTGGATATATTTACCAGTATTATAACCACCAGTGTCATATTAAATGTTGAAATTGTTTTTGCATGAATTTAGAAAGGTCTTGGAGAGGAATGCTTCTCTACCTGATGATTTGCCTTCAGCAAGTTAGGTCCTGCTCTGTGACACAACTGGGCCTTCCTTGTGTGGAGCTGAAGATGTCATTAAAAAAAAGGAAAAACCCCAACAACTAAATGTAGGTTAGTAGCTTTCACTTTTTTAAATGTGATGCTAAGCTATGTTTTTCTGCAATTTTGATAATTTCATACAAAACTATAAAAGCAAAATCCATGTATTTAGTAACTGGTGGAAGTCTTAGAAGTTTTGCAAATTGATTAATAATTGGATAGCCAGAGGTTCCTTGAAGAACATCTCCTACTAAATTAAACCAGGTA